GGAAATGAGCACCACCCCCGCAGTTGGACACGACTAGACTTAATGTCAATGGGAAACCTTTACCTTTAACACAAACACACACAGTTTTGCTATTTTATACAAAGGATAACTAATTTGCTATGCCATTGTATTTTGAGAATGGAAAATCCCTGGATCCTGGAAGTCCTGAAGTCAAACCCCAGCAGATACCAAGAGTATTTGTTTTGAAGTTGTTGATTAAGCCTCTACTGCAGGCATGGGCAAACTTTGGCCTCCCAAGTGTTTTGGACTTCAGCTCCCACAATTCCTAACAGCTCGTAGGCTGTTAGGAATTCTGGGAGTTGAAGTCCAAAATACCCGGAGGGCTGAAGTTTGCCCATGCCTTTTTTCTGGCTTAAAATACTGATAAGTCATAATTAAGCTAAGTGTTCTGAGGCTGTGACAAATTACTCAAAGGCAGGTGATATAAAAATGGGTACATACATTCTTTAAAAGTCTGTTTGGTTAGGCCTATCTATCCTATGCAACAACAGTCAGAGATGAACAGAACAATATGCTTTTCACATGAAAGGCTCTCAAGCCCAGAACTTTGAAGACTCTCACCACAGGAACTGGAAGCCTTGAAAACATATATACAAAGAGGAGCAGGTGCTATATTTCCTTACAAACAGTTTTCTTCTGTAACAACTGGGAGTGGGAAGAGCAAGGAGTGTTAGCCATGACAAGAGATCACCAGCAGAATGGGGGAAACCCAGCATGCTATCCTGCTTCCCTCTCAGAAGTTTTTTATCTCTTGAAATGAAATTTTCAGCACTCTGGAAAAAAGCCCCAGCTCAGCTCTTCTTGCATGAAGTGATAAAAGTGTTATATTTGCTGGGCAAGAAGGAAAGAATTATTATTTGAATCAACACAGTCTAGACAGGGGCATTCTTCTTTGTCCTCACTTTTTCCACAGATTTGCCCATAATCAAACATCACTAGGTTGCAATGGTAATTTTTTTTGTATTCACTCTGTAATTGTTTTTGTATTCACTCTGAATTCAAAACCTGGAGACTAAAAGACGGTGACATATGTGTCCAGCTAATGACCTAATAAGTGTGTATCTTTTAGCTGATTAATGTGCCTTTTTCTACAGAATTAACACAACTTGAGCCTTGATTTACTCTAGGGAAGAATTCCTTAAGTGAGGAAAGCATTTTAATACCTTTTTCTACACATATCCAGTAAAAACACATTGAGACCGGTTTGCTTTTCTTGCATCCGTCTGAGAATGTTTTGCACACAGAGACAGTTTGCAGCTCGATACGGATTTGGGGCATCGATGGGGACCATGAAACTGTTTCCATAGTTTTCATAGCCATGGCCAGCATAATATAACAAACCTAGTGAAAAATAAAACACATCATCAGAATAGTATGTAGATATTATATTAAGCCAATACTCATTTAATTTGCATTGCAAAGCTATCAAGCAGGCTGACAGAATGGATGACCTTCAGGAGGATGATCTGACTTGACAAAGATATTTGCTACTATATTTTTATGACAATCCTTGATAAATTGTCAAAGGCATGATTTTCTGCCATTGCAGCAGTCCCTGTTGAAAGCACTCCACTTTTGTGTTGAGGCTGGAAGTTTGGTCAGGTTTGCATATTATGGAACAACATTTCCTTTAACTTACACAACATCATGAAAAGCTTAGTGAACATGTGGAAGAAGTGGCCAACGCCTCACTTGCATGTGGTGTTTGTTCAAAATCCTCACAGGAGATTGTGGGGGGCTCTGGTGTCCATGCAACAGTGACCCCATCACATGGAGTAGTGAATTCACTCCAGGTTTTAGTCCAAACTTTAAAGGAGTGCTGAATCTATCCCTAAGGTACATCGAGCACTTTGGACAGCTCCTTTAAACTGCAGAGTAGAATCCAGAGTGGATCCCCTGCCTCATTAACATCAATCAGAGCTACGCTCCTCCCCACACATCACCCTCTTCTGCATCCCACACAGCTGCAAAATCAGAATCAAGTTGGAGTGTTGTGTGGTTCCCAGGCTGTATGGATGTGTTCTAGCAGCATTTTCTCTTGACGTTTTGCTTGCTGTTAGAACCCGGACATATAGCCGGGAAAACACACAAGCATTCCAGTGATTCTGGCTGTGAAAGCCTTTGACAATGCAGATTTAAATTGTACACAACACAATTCTACATATTCCACAGACATTCAAAATAATATCTAGGAAAATATAAATTTTTGTTTTTGCTGTAATTTATAAACAGCCCTCCAGCCATAAGCAATTACTGGGCAATGAGAAGACAAATATAGTAATCAGGATACAATTACATGATAAAACATATAATGTCTCTTCTGAGCTATAAAACTGCAGTTGTGGAATTCTGATACAATGAATGGGTCTCCTTCCCAAAGTTATTTCACAGATGGAGAACTGAGTGCACTATCTATCAAAGACACTCGGATAACAAAATTCTTTGTGAAATGCCCTTGCAAAAACTCAAGAGTTAAGAGATGTCACAATTCTAGTGGTATCAGGAATGCCCATGATCTGTTTTTTTTCCCTTGGTGTCTTCCAAGTGTGTTGGACGTCATTTTGTTGTTGTCAAGTGCTACACATTGATCTTGAACACAAGAATGAGAGGGTTCCAGGTCGTTATATCCTTGACTTCCCTGAATCTATACATCTGGAATATGATCTTCCTGTTTTCCTACTGCCCTCCAGCAACCATTTATTGCCTTTTCTTGTGATTCATCTCATAATATGGCTAAGTAGGATAGCCTCAGTTTAGTCATCTTGGTTTATAGGGAGAGTTCAGGTATGATGTGTTCTAGGAACCATTTATTTGTCTTTTTAGCAGCCCATGGTATCTGCAAAACTCTTCTCTCAAGCAACGCAAGCTGGCAATGAAGGAGACGTAGTACAATACATCTGGAAGGAATCACATCAAGGAAATCTGCTCCAATGCTTTCTTCTATTGGAATTCCTCAGCTAGAACTTGGACATGTTACTTTTTTAGTTTATAAATCCCAGAATACTTAAATGGAAGGCAATTCTGGGAATTACCGTCCAGAAAAGTAAACTTTCTGAGCTCGTTTCTCAGCCTGTGTTTTCCTACTGAGCAATATAACAAGCAACTGAAACCTACTGAGTCTATGTCTCTGCCTATCTATCCATAGGAAACTAGGTATCAACTGTAAAACATGTAACATAGTCATTATCATGCCCTTACCATAGCTGCAAGAGAACTGGTGCTTATGAAAAAACAAATTAACTATGACTTTATGAGAAGCAATAAAAATATTATGTCAGACATTCTCAGGATAAATTGGCAGCAGTTTTTTTGAAGATGTTTTGAAAACTCATGGCAGCAAATATGGCTGTGTTGCCATCTGAAATTCAAAAATATTTAAACCTGTTGGAGTAGGGTAGCAGCATAAGAAATCAATAAAACTGAAGCAAATGCCACATACTTTACACAGACCAGCAGCAAATACACAGCTGTGACCGACTCAAATTTGCCATCCGACTTCCACTAAGAAAAGGGGGTGGCAAAGTATCCTGCCGTCAGAAAGTCTGTCGCAGTGTTTAGTGCCGCAATAAATCTTCCTGTCATTGTGACCCTCGGATCAGGCACACCGAGGGCGAAGGGCATGTTGAAAGTCAGGCTGGCCAGCCCTGGATGCATCAAGCACCACATATCTGATCAATGAAAGAAGTCACACCATGCAATCACTTCACCTTCCCCTGGCACCTGTTGCAGACGCGTCCAATTAAAACATCGCCTGACCTCTGTAACCTGCTGCAGGGGTCATTCCACCTCATAGATAGCTGTTAAGAGAGCTTTCATGAAAAGTAAACACTACTGGGAATCAAGGTAGAAAACTTTTTAACTTTTGAAGTAGAAGACAAATAACACATAGGGAAAGGAAAATCAGCAGCTGAGCCAGGCTTTGAAGCTGCAAGGCTTTATAATGCTAATCAAAGTGGCCAGTTGCAACATTCACTCTTGCCTCAAACAGACAAGAGTTCTTTCTCCTACTCTGGACAATCCACAGATATATAAACCTCACTTGCCTAGTTTCCAACAGACCTAATAACCTCTGAGGATGCCTGCCATAGATTTGGGCGAAACATCAGGAGAGAATGTTTCTGGAACATGGCCATACAGCCCAGAAAACTCACAGCAACCCAACTGAGCATGTCTTTGCACACAGGGGTTTCTAGGAACCTTTTGTTAAAGGAGGTGGGCACCAAGGACCAAATTTCCACCCAGACCCACTCTGCTATTCAACCCCACAGCTAGTCAAAATGTAAATTCTTTCAATATAGCAAGGGAAAATGGCATTGTGTCATTTACCTGTTTCCATTCTGAGAAGGTTCTGGGGGGCTTGTAGGTGTAAGGTAGGGTTATTTTTATGATTTCACTGTTTTGGAGGAGGGGGTTCTGTATAGTTTGAGGGCAAACCTTTGCTCCAAAGAGCAAAGGGATTGAGTAAAAAGGTGCTGGAGGAAAGTTCTGAGAGTGCCTTGGACTGCGAGAAGATCCAACCAGTTCATACTTCAGGAAATAAAGCCCAATTGCTCATTGGATGGAAGGATATTAGAGACAAAGTTGAAGTACTTTGGCCACATCATGAGGAGACAGGAAAGCCTAGAGAAGACAATTATGCTGGGGGAAATGGAAGGAAAAAGGAAGAGGGGCCGACCAAGGGCAAGATGGATGGATGGCATCCTTGAAGTGACTGGCTTGACTCTGAAGGAGCTGGGGGTGGCCACGGCTGACAGGGAGTGCTGGTCCACAAGGTCACGAAGAGTCGGAAATGATTCAACAAATGAACAACAACAAAAAGGTTTAGGACAGGAGCTGGGTAAATGACCTTGGAGTTCTGCATCTGGCCTGCAGGTCTTTGGTTGGGGAACCCATCTTATTTATTTATTTATTTGGGACATTTATATCCTGTCCCTCTCACCTCCAAAGAGGGACTCAGGACAGCTACCAACAGGCACTATTCGATGCCTACACCATATAAAAAGGGAGGGAGTGGATCTGATCCCATTAGGGATCAGTGGATCTGATCTCATTAGGGAGCTTGGGATGATTGCGATAACTCATGTTGCCCATCAGCAGGGCTACTTTGTCCACAGCTGGAAAGTCAAGAAAGGACAGCATTTTGACAGTGTATACAAAGCAAGTCACACATACAATTACACTGCTTAGCCGGTATTGCACCACCTTCTTCATGGTGGCCCCTCAGCTGTGGAACTCCCTCCCTAATGAGATCAGATCCACTCCCTCCCTCTTGACCTTCTGGAAGAAACTTAAATTCTGGCTGTGGGATCAAGCATTTGCAGGATAGACTGATTTGCTGGAAAAGATAATGTTTTTAGTAGACTGCAATGGACTGATTAGGATGATGATTTGAACTGGCAAACTGCTTTTAATGTTTATAACTGTTTTTAATTCTGCAAATTGTATTGTATGTTATTTTTATATGGTGTAGGCATCGAATAGTGCCTGTTGGTAGCTGTCGTGAGTCCCCTCTTTGGAGGTGAGAGGGACAGGATATAAATGTCCCAAATAAATAAATAAATAAGATGGAGAAGGCCTTGTCTCTCGTCCCCACCAAACACAACTGCGATGACGGTGGGACCGAGATCAAGGCCTCCCTAGATGATCTTAAAGTCCTTGATGGGTTTGTAATGGGAGACACGTTCAAAAGGGTAAACTGGAATCTTCTAATCAATTAAAGTATATACCTTCCTTCTAGCAACACTTTCTTCTTTTTTCGCCCCATTTCCCTATACTAGGCAGGAAAATTAATCCCAGCCCAATCAACTTTTCTTATTGCTCACTACTCCACATAGGTTGCATTTCCATCTAATCCTCTCACTTTGCACAACTACACAGGTATGTAAGAGAGCTATACACTGGCTGAGATGCTCATTTATTTAGGCAGTGGTTCTCAACCTGTGGGTCCCCAGGTGTTTTGGCCTAGAACTCTCAGAAATCCCAGCCATTTTATCAGCTGTTAGGATTTCTGGGAGTTGCAGGCCAAATATCTGGAGATCCACAGTTTGAGAACTATTGATTTAGAAAAATATTATAAATATTAAAATGTTTTAAAATGGGGCAACACAAATGTTGACCTGGCTGCATGAAAATTATCAGTTTACATTCTGATGAATAGAAGGCAACTGCTCTTCTTACCGTACACTCCTTTGTCCAGGAGCAATAAGAACTCATTTACTGCATTCCTCATCTCAGGTTCAGTAAGATCCAGCACGGAAACTACTTTGAAGTCCAGCTGCCGAAGCAAGTTGGTTAGTTCATAAACATCCACCAATGGAGCTTTGAGCTTGGGATGATTGCGATAACTCATGTTGCCCATCAGCAGGGCTACTTTGTCCACAGCTGGAAAGTCAAGAAAGGACAGCATTTTGACAGTGTCACACATATAATTTGCTTAGCTGGTATTGCACCACCTGACATCCGCCGGGAAGTAGCAGCCAATAGTGAAAGGACCAAGGCAGAGACATCTCCAGCTCATCCCCTGTTTGGGTATCAGCCAGCACATCAACGACTTAAATCTAGAAATAGTTTTCTAAGATCTACAGAGACACTCGCTGAAACACCTCAGCAAGCGAGAGTCCAAAAGTGGCAGGCTCAAACCCAGAACCTCAATCAATGGCTGATACCAAATGAGAGACTCCCCCCTGGACACACAGAGGACTGGCGACTTGGAAGGCGCTGAACAGACTGCACTCTGGCACCACGAGATGCAGAGCCAACCTTCAGAAATGGGGCTACAAAGTGGAATCCTTGACTTTGAGTGTGGAGAGGAGCAAACAACTGACCACCTGCTGCAATGCAACCTGAGCCCTGCCACATGCACAATGGAGGACCTTCATGCAGGAACACCAGAAGCACTCCAAGTGGCCAGATACTGGTCAAAGGACATTTAACCAACTACCAAACTCACAAATTTTGTATTTTGTCTGTTTGTTTGCTTTGTTCTGTTAGAAATGTAATATAATTTGACTGGTTGTCCTGACACGACAAATAAATACACATACAATAATCCAGATCCAGGTCTCATACTGATAAATAAAGAGATGCCTGTGTATTTGAATTATTGCTCTTGTTAACACTTTTCCTGGAATTTTCTTGCACTGATCTCTTTGGCCTGGACTGAATTTACTGCTCATACACACTGCTTTAGAAATAAACAGATCATTTACAGATGAAATACAATCTGTCAAGCATCATCACAATGAAAGTCATTTTAGAGAGACAGTTACAAATGATATTACACTCTCAGGTTTTCTATGGCCACCTGTCTGTGGATTTAGTACAACAGAGGATCATTAATTCACACCTATTTACATTGACAGTATAATGCCTTTCTGTTGACTCTATCCCAAGAGAAAGCATAAATTGGTAAACCAACCTGAAAACTGCCATAAAGAAAATACACTATGAGTAATGCTTCCAATCTGTCTTGTCATTGAAAAAAATACTATGGACGGATTCTTGCTTGATTTACCAAGATCATAAACCCAAATGCCAAACTCTAAGCTCCACTTTTGATTAGAGAGGTCATATTTTCGTAAACAAAGATTTGATAGCTACAGGAGAATTCTAGATTCTGACATGATAAATACAGATGTCAAAACCTGCTCATACATGTTTCTTTAAAAGGCTTTGCTTGGAGTCAACCTTTTGGAAATTTAGTCAAGGCATTTTTATGCTTTGGAGCATTTTGTGTTGTTCTTTGTGTCTTCAAGTTGACTTCAACTTATGGAGATCCTACTATAATGTCATATGGATAAGCTCTTTTCAGAAGAGGTTTGTCATTGCCTGCCTTTACATTTGAGAGAATTTGACTTGTCAAAGAGCATCATGTGGGTTTCCATGGTTGAGAATGAATGATAAGTATGGTCTCAAAGAGTCCGTCCATCACTCTAACCACTACACAACACTGCCTTGCAGAATAAGCTTGTAATTTAGAACAGTATTCAGAAGACAGTATATCTTTGAATTGCCACTAATTATGGCAAATGAAAAAATTTACTAAGATATTCAATACAGTATTATACTAAATTTTTGTTGTATATTTGGGGACGGTTTTGTCAGCACCTGGTGGTGCAGCGAGTTAAACTGCTAAACTGCTGAACTTGATGATCAAAAGGTTGGTGGTTCAAATCCAGGGACCAAGGTGAGCTTCCGCTGTTAGTCCTAGCTTCTTTCAACCTAGCAGTTCAAAAACATGCAAATGTGAGTAGATCAATAGGTTCCACTTTGGTGGGAAGGTAATGGTGCTCCATACAGTCATGCCAGCCACATAGCCTTGGAGATGTCTACGGACAACGCCAGCTCTTTGGCTTAGAAATTAAGATGAGCACCACCCACCAGTCAGACATGCCAAGACTTAAAGTCAAGGGGAAACCTTTAACTTTACCTTTCTATCCTGAGCCAAATTTCAACATGTAGCTTCTTCCTAACATTTTATTTCTCTGCTCTTAGTACAGTGCTATTGTATGTTTTAAAATGCATGTTAATTGTATTTATTGTATTTTAATTGTATTTTAACCTACCCCACACAGTATTGTTTATAATTTTTGTTTTTGCATTGTTTTAAATGGTGACAAAGCTGTGTGGTTACTAGTAACCTTGAGTCCCCACAGGGAGAAAGGCGGGGTATAGATAAAAAAACACAGAAATAATAACAATATTTGTACAAAGTCCTAGACTCTTAGCATCCTAAAGTCTGGAGAAGAGCAAACCACTGACCACCTGCTAAAATGCAACTTGAGCCCTGCTACATGCACAATGGAGGACCTACTTGCGGCAACAGCAGAGGCACTCCAAGTGGCCAGATACTGGTCAAAGGACATTTAATCAACTACCAAGCTTGCAAACTTTGTGTTTTGACTGTTTGTTTGTTTGTTTTGTTAAAAATGTAATACAACTGTCTGGTTGCTCCTGACACAATAGATAAATAAATAAAGCTGCTCCTACTAGTCTGATATGATGTAGTCGAGCAATATTTTATGGTCCAGTGGGTTAAACCCTTGTGTCGGCAGGACTGCTGACCAAAAGACTGGCAGTTTGAATCCGGGGAGCGAGGTGAGCTTCCATATGTCAGCTCCAGCTTCCCCTGCAGGACATGAGAGAAGCCTCCCACAAGATTGTAAAGCATCTAGGTGTCCCCTGGGGAACGTCCTTGCTGACAGCCAGTTCTCTCACACCAGAAGTGACTTGCTGTTTCTCAAGTCGCTCCTGACATGAAAAAAAACAAACATGATAGTTCACATTTTACTTCTTTTATACTCTGTGCAATGTCATTGTATAGTTTGTGCTTATGTTGTTCATTTCTGTTCAACCTCAGCTGAAAGCGGCACTCTATGATTAAGTTAACACTCTTATGTCTTTTCTTGCAGATCATAAAAGTGACTGAGTGAGAATGGCAGTGCTAACAACAAGGCTTCGGCATAATGGTTATGGGCCTGATATCCAAAGTCAATGATCAATTCACCTGCAGAGTGAATTAGAGAATTAAATGTTTGTTTAACAGATTTTTTAAAAAATTAAGAAGATTCTAATATTTTCCATGTTGAAGCAAATGGAGACAGTTACCTTCCACTGTAGGAATAAAGCTACTTAGCATAACTGAAGCAGCCTAGCACTAAGCGTGATATACTTCACACTGCATTGACCTTTCACGCAGCATGGAAACCCTGTCAGGCAAATGGCTTACATTTTGCTATGCTGTCAGAATGTACTGACCTTTTGTTGTTTTGGTCTATACTTTAATCCCTTTTATAAAGAATGTTCTTTGCCAAAGAAAGGATCTGGTTCCAGTGCAACCTTTCCCAGAATGGGTTCAAGCAACCCCTACATAAGGACAAAACGCATGCTGGGGAATTTTCTTTTCAAAAAGTAAATTAACCTTGTCTGTTAGAAACACTTTGTAATTGAGACATTCTCCCATTTAGGGAAAGCAATAAATGTCCATTTGCATATTTAATGCCAAGTTCAAGCTTTTACAATACTTGTGACATCTTCAAAGAATCATGCTAATAATAGAATCATAGAGTCAGAAGAGACCTCGTGGACAAGAAACCCCTTGCAAGAAATTGCATTCAAAGCAACCCCGGCAGATGGCCATCCAGCCTCTGTTTAAAAGCCTCCAAAGAATGAGCCTCCACCACTCTCTGGGGCAGAAAGTTCCACTGCTGAACAGCTCTCACAGTCAGGAAGTTCTTCCTCATGTTCAGGTGGAATTTCCTTTCCTGTCGTTCGCAGCCATTGCTCCATATCCTAGTCTCCAAGGCAGCAGAAAACAAGCTTGCTCCCTCTTCCCTATGACTTCCCCTCACATGTCATCATGTCTCCTCTCAGCCTTCTCTTCTTCAGGCTAAACATGACTAGCTCTTTAAGCCACTCCTCATAGGGCTTGAATGTATTGCTCAGGAGAGCAAAAGCATGCTAAGATCATGATTACAGCTTTGTACCCTTGGAGAAGATGTTACTGCTGTTCAGCAAGTTCTCACATACAGGTGCAAAATAGTGAAAAGGAAAAAAACCAAAAAAAAAAAACCAGGGGAATTATTGTTATTTCAGTATCACAAAAGCAATGGGCTTCAATAGAAATCTGAGTGAGGATGTTGTCCATAATGTCAGCTAACAAGACATGGAACTCTGGCACTAAGGGATGATTGATGAAGGAAAAAAAGCCATGGTACATGTTTTCCCTCTGGCTTCAAAATATATTCAATTCAATTCAAATAAAAAGGAGAAATCCAAATAAAACCTTATTGAATAAAATACATAGTTAAGTTTTGACAACCTATTGATTTCAAAAACAACTTGATTTTGCGCCCCCCCCCCTTTTCTAGATTGTACCCGTGTTTCCAGGGAAGCATCAAATCACTTACCAGATTGCCTTTCAGTTGACTGTTCTTCTGTAAGATCTGCTTTAGCAACAGAAAGAATAAGTTTGGAGTGCATATTCTCAGAATAATTTACAAACACTGAAAACATTAAGGTGTTCTTCAACTTGGAGCCTCCAACTTTTGTTTATACTTTTAATGTCTTTGGATTCCTTATTCGCCTACAACATGGATTTAAGATGCATTTTTATAGAGGAGGACATTTCACTTTCCAATTGCAAATACAATTGGAAATGAAGTATGCTTTAATCCTGAGAGCATGCAACACACTGTCCTCCTACATCTACCTATTTTTCAGGATATAATTGTTATACAAATACTCTAAAATAGTGAGCCTCCTCACCCATTTCTACATCCATTAAGTCACTAGACAAGTGTGAAGTATCTACAAGGTAGAATTGATCAGATCTGCCATAGCCTTTCTCATCTTCACTTTTTGATTACATGCATCCTGTTGTTGTGCCAAAAACTTCATATAAGGCATCATATAAAGTACCAATGGATTAGCTCCACACCATTCGCTTTGATGAACACTAGTTCTGAAAAGGCACATAACATTACTGTATCAATTTAGCAATAATATCATGGCACATGGCACATGGAGCCCCCAGTGGTGCAGCAAATGAAACCACTAAGCTGTAGAACTTGCTGACTGTAAGTTTAGCGGTTCGAATCCAGGGACCAGGGTGAGCTCCTGCAGTTAGCCCCAGCTTCTGCCAACCTAGCAGTTCGAAAACATGCAAATGTGAGTAGATCAATAGGTACCGCTTCAGCGGGAAGATAATGGTGCTCAATGCAGTCATGTCGGCCTTGGAGGTGCCTACGGATAACACTGGCTCTTCGGCTCAGAAATGGAGATGAGCACTACCCCCCAGAGTCGGGCATGACTGGACTTAATGTCAAGGGGAAACTTTTACCTTTACATGTCACATGTAGCTATCATATATATAATTGACCACCTTTTCAAAGATGAGAAACATGGTGTCTTTAAAAAAAAACACCAGAAGCCAATCTTTTTGCTCTACGAGAGTGGCTTTTTCTGTAACTGCACTCCTTGCAATTTCAAGGCACCAATAAAAACATGCTCCGGCAAGCAATACTTATTACTTTCACAACGATCCACGAAGCACAGCAATTTATCAGCTTTCTGCAATCTGGTATTCTCCTGATGCACTGAACTATAATTCTCATCAGGCCCAGCAAACATATCTAGAGGACACCAGGCTGTGGAAGCCCGATTATACATAATATCTTCGAATATTTTGGAAGCTACAGTAGCACTTGGCAAAAAAGCAAGTATGTACTTCTGTAGCACAGAAGGCTTGACATGACTTTTAAACAGCCATTTTGGGAACTAAAATGCTTGGCACAATCCTGCATGGAATCATTATCTGATACCATGGAATTACTGAACACCTGATGGTTTATATCACAGATGGCTTACATCATGGACACCTATTTTGCATTTGGTTATTCAGATCCACTTTATGATGCCATGAAAGCTAAAGGATAATTTGATGTCGTACCATCTTTCCAAATTATCTTCTGGATAGCCTTGTGATTAAATGATATGTTTGGCCTGACAATAAGTGGCACAGAAATGACAGGACATAAATTCAGCTGTCTGGCCTGTTTCTTTTTACCTCTCAAGTGCTTTTAATTTGATGTTTCCACAATACCTAAAAAAGTACAGGTCATTCTTAATGAAAACATGCAGATGGTATACAAAACTGCTTTTAAAATAGCTGGCACACATTGAACTGTTGGAGATGTTAATTGAAAACAATAAAAATGGAGGCAAATTGTTTCAGCAGCAGCTAAGATACTAAATTATCTTGTAGCACCTAATATCCATAAAGTACAATTAGAAAACATGATATGACAATTAGAAACATGATGTTTAGGAAGACTTACCAGGTCTTCCTAAACAGCTCAAGTCCTCTGAAACAGAATACAGAAGATTAGTACACATGCATTTAGTAAACATTAAAACATTTTTATATCTGTGAGCAAGATTTTGTTAGATCTTACAGCAAACTGAAAACTGAAGGAAGATAGAATCATAGAGTCATGGGCCATCCAGTCCAACCCCCTTCCAAGAAGCAGAAAATCACATTTAAAGCACCTCTGACAGATGGCCATCCAACCTTGGTTTAAAAGCCTTGAAAGAAAGAGGCTCCACCACACTCTGGGACAGAGAGTTCCACTGCTGAACAGCTTTCACATTTAGGAAGTTCTTCCTAACTGTGGTTTGAAGCCATTGTTCTGTGCCTTAGTCTCCATGGCAGAAGAAAACAAGCTTGCTCCCTCCTCCCTATGACTTCCCCTCACATATTTATACATGGCCCTCATCATGTCTCCTCTCAGCACTCTCTTCTGCAGGCTAAACATCCTCAGCTCTTAAAGCTGTTCCTCAAAGGGCTTGTTCTCCAGACCCTTGATCATATTCGTCGCCTCTTCTGGACACATTCCAGCTTGTCAACATCTCCCTTCAATTGTGGTGCCCAGAATTGGACATAGTGTGATTCCAGGTGTGGTCTGACCAAGGCAGAATAGAGGGGTAGCATGACTTTCCTGGATCTAGACACTAAGCTCCTATTTATGAAGGCCCAAATCCCATTGGCTTTCTTTGCCGCCGCATGCTGTTGTTGGCTCATGTTTAACTTGTTGTCCACGAGGACTCCAAGATCTTTTTCACACGTACTCCTGTTGAGCTAAGTCTCCCATTCTGTATCTTTGCATTTCATTTTTTCTGCCTAAGTGGAGCATCTTGCATTTGTCTCTGTTGAACTTCATTTTGTTAGTTTTGGCCCATCTCTCAAATCTGTTTAGATCATTTTGAATCCTGCTTCTGTCTTCTAAGGTATTAGCTACCCCTCTCAATTTGGTGACATCTGCAAACTTGATGATCCTGTCTGATTAAAGGTTACATTTCATTCCAATCTCTTCAGAACAATATGCAGATAAAGCAGATATATATTTGTAGTGAAGACAAGGATGAATTTTGTTTCATTAGTGGGTAGAGAAGAAATAACACCACCAGCCACGAATATGAGAATATATTACATCAGTATTTAATATAACATAGTTCAACATGTGCAGAATTATGTTTTAGCAACAGATACCAGAATTCCCCAAGTTTTCAGCATGCGAGGTTCATGAATAAGCTTTACAACATGCATTTGACTTTACCTTCACTGCATTCAACTGCAATTGATTTTCCACCTTGGATTTCAAAAAGAGGGGGGAAATTAAAAAAGAGTGCTGGGATAAAGGTTTTGGTTTTATCTATGACAAGTTATAAAACAAATGGGAGAGAAGAGCACTACTCACATTTTATAAAGATTGAACAAGTTGCAAAGAAGCTATACATCATACATCATTATGATGAAGCAACACAGTTAAAATGCTCATCGATGATTTAAGGACTGATTAGACAACCTATGCTACGGCAATTCATTACCGAATAGTCAACATATTCAGCAAAGTACAATCAAATTAAAAGAAGGCACAAATGATTAAATAGCCTGATGCTATGTAATAGAATTTCCATATTATGCTGAGATCTGGTGGGGAGACCGTTAAATGTGGCTTGCTAATTGATGTAACTGTAGTAGGTTTTACTCCTAGGATCCCTGAAAAGGGAAAGCAAGAAGAGAATTTGATTCTACATTTTGTAAAGCACATTATGTCTCAAAATAACATGCAGACTACATGACTTCCAAGTTTTACTTCCTCTCCTTATCCAGCATGTAACTGGATAAAGAAAATTAGAGGCGGCATTTGTAGAAGTAATATTATTGCAATATGGATTATTGTGAGTTTTCTGGGCTATATGGCCATGTTCCAGAAGCATTCTCTCCTGATGTTTCACCTGCATCTATGGCAGGCATCCTCAGAGGTTGTGAGATCCTCACAAACTCACAACCTCTGAGGATGCCTGCCATAGATGCAGGTGAAACGTCAGGAGAGAATGCTTCTGAAACATGGCCATACAGCCCGGAAAACTCACAACAACCCAGTGATTGTCATTAAAGCCATTGACAATATTGCAATATGGATTTTGGATTTTTTTCTAATGATAAAACAGGCACCTCTGCTTTTTTAGGACTTCAAGTTAGCTTTCAATATACAGTAGCAAGCAAAGAAACCTGATAAGTGGTGTAGAGATTTAAATGTGTCATGTTCTTCATATGCACCTGATGTTTCTGGCAGCCTTGACTGTTTCAGAAATGAAACAGAGGTGAAACAATCCAGGCAAGGTCATAAGTCTATCCAATGAAGAGGGTTCGTGCAATGAAATATTATTATTACAGTGATTAGAGAGGCTGTTATACTGGTGTCTAGCACCAAGAAACAAAATCTAAAAGGATTCAGAGGATTCAGTTTTTGAGAGGCACAGAAAATAATACACCACATCTGTGTTACACTTTGTGTCAAAGCAACTTGTATTTCCTTAGTCATGACACATGTAGCATAAGTATGTGCCTTTATGATCAGTGTCCACACAGGGTCCCTAGAAGAATATCAAAACATCTTCTAACAGCACTTACTGACGAGATGTAAATAAGTGCTATTAGGAGATGTTTTGATATTCTTCTAGGGACCCTGTGTGGACACTGATCATAAATGCACATACTTATGCTACATGAATCATTTAATCAGTTCTAAGGCATACAGTTGAACAAACATTCAAGACTAGCAAAACAGAACACCTAAGGCTCTAGAACAGTGGTTCTCAACCTGTGGGTCCCCCCGTGTTTTGGCCTACAACTCCCAGAAATTCGAGCCAGTTTACCAGCTGTTGGGATTTCTGGGAGAGAAGGCCAAAACATCTGGGAACCCACAGATTGAGAACCACTGATCCAGAACATTAAATTCTTCAATCTGAAAATCTAACTCATAAATTTTAATGATGTGACAGACTGTGAGCAAGGAGGCACATTATTAGATATCCTCTGTGCCAAACTAATTTTTGTGTTCCCAAAAACAAGATGTCAGGGAGAAGGGTTACCCCTGAATATCAAAAGTCAATACATACGTCTATAAAACACAAGCAATTAAAAAAATTGTGATTAATACTAGTTATTTATGACATCCCTTGAGGTAGTCAATAGCAGCTAAAATATGATACCTTTAATAATAATTATACTGATAAAACAAAGACCTGCTCAGACTCCCAACATACTGGAAAATACTCCAAAAGAAGGTGCCAACCTAGACATTTTCTCCAGTTTAGTTGCAGCCCCTGAGAAGGGTTCTTTTTTTTTTTTTTTTGGAATTACGTAACAGTCCACAAAGTACTGTTAATCAATATTAAGGCTGACAGCAATGTTAATTCTTTGCAGAACTGCTAAAGTCTACAGATGGACTCATACGCTGGGACCTAATTCGTGTAATGCAGTAGTCATTTCATTTGACAAATGCCCCAACATATTTTATCAGGAGGGAGACCTTGAAAGGTGCTTGGAAAGTACACTTTCTGATATGTGCTTTTCAAGCCAACAGCACGGCTTCTTAAATTGTTTTAAATCCTAATGCAAGGTATGAGCTCTTATCTCTAAAACCTCTGGCAACCTGGCTTGATGAAGATGCTCATCGTTTATCTTTACCACAGTATATTCATATGCCCCACAACACATAAACAAGTTTTGATCAGTCAGAGTGTGATGCACGGACTTTTCTGTGGCTGCACCCAAACCACAAACCCCTCCCATAGGAAGATTAAGTTAGGTCCTTAATTGCTCAATTTCTGAAGAGCAATCTCAGGTCTGAAATGCTGCCAATAATTATTTAACTCCCATGTTATTTCTTTGCCAGAGCCTCTGAAAGAGAGCTCAGCCACAGAACAATGTTGTGCTCCATCTGCTAATATCTGAAAATAATTAGTATATGCTTATAACATTGTTATATGTTAACCTTGTGTAACATCTTTACTAGCGATCAGCTACAGCCACCACTCACAAAGAGCTTTATATATACTGATGACCTTGGCCTAACAGCACAAGCAAAAGTGTTTGCCACTTACAGAACCATGAAGCCAACAGGAAATTGAAAGTTATCTGCAAAGGTCAAGAGCCTGAACATTGTTTCCATTCTAAATATCTTGGTGTCACCTTAGATTGAACACTAACATATATGAAACACTACATGAACACAAAGAAGCTGCACACAATAACATCCTGTGGAAACTTAGTAATAGCGCATGGGGTGCAGACCCAAAATTAATAAGAATATCAACCCTGACCTTATCTTACTCAGATGCCAAGTATACCTACCCTGTTTGGCACAAGTCTGCCCATGCGAAGCAGGTGAACTTACAGAAACATACAGAATAATCACAGGATGTCTTAAACCTACACCTGTTGATAAGCTCTACAAGCTAGATAGTATCCCCCCCCCCAATGTGCGACGGGAAGTTGCTGCTAACTATGAGATAAATAAGGTTGAACACTATGAAAGCCACCCACTGCACGGCTATCAGCCTCCTCCCAGTAGATTCAAATCAAGGAAAAGTTTCATGAGAACCACCACTCCTCTTAACGTACTGTTGGGCAGCTAAACTAGGAAATCCCAATTGGATGGCCACCAGGGGCAAAGCAAGAATTGACAACTTGGAAGTCCCTGAACAGGTTCAGAAGTGGAGTAGACAGATCAAAAGACAACCTGGCAAAATGGCACTACCTAGAAGCATCCTCAGTAAAAGTATGATAGCTGGGACCGATTGCTGGTACCGCTACGCTCATTCCATAACGCTGCTTCGCCAATGCTAATAGCATAATGGGGCGGCAGGATACCACTGAACTCAGTTAATGCAGGAGGGACAGATAACAGTGAAGTAATTTAACAGGTCAGTGATAGTATGATAGCTGGGACCCAACGATACACTACTTGAGCAAGGTGGTTCAGAATAGAGGAATGGAAAATGACCCCATCACAGGTAAGAAAGGAGGGGTAACAGAAAGAGGGGCAGAAAGGGGAAGAACAATAAACAGGGGAGGATTGTGCTTAAGGGAAGTAAAGGAATCCGTCTGCGTCTCTCACTCTGCCTGGTCTCACTCTGGATGCTCTCTCGACCACATGGTCACACACATGTTCCTCATTCAGAACCAACGTTGCGGAATCAGCGTAGAACTACCAGAACTCGGCCCCAGCTATCATACTTTTACCGAATCCTCCACCTTGTGTGACTATGGAGCAGAACAAACAATTCTGCATCTGTATGCTTGTTTGCAATGTCCTGCCTCATGTACAAAGAAAGAATTGTTTGAGGCTACAGACAATATGGTCACTGTTGCCCGTTTTTGGTCAGAAGATATTTAGCCACTTGTGCTCCTTCTATTTTTAGCAGTTTTATATTAATTTATGCAATGCTTTTGATATGAAATAAATAGCATGATTAAATAATAATTAAAAACCCTTACATGGTTCTCATGCAAGGATAGACAGTAGCAAGATTTTATGCATTTGTGGAATCAGGCAAAACAGAGTGGACTGTTTAATTACACAATGAAAGTAGAAACTGCCAGGCATTTTCAAGTCAGTTGCTGTGGTCAATCACATCATTGTGCATCAGTGAAAAGATTTAGACAATCCAGACATTCACTATATTTGCTACAGATCCTGTCAGAAACTTGGGATTAAAGGTTCATCAACATGAACTGCATGCCTTGGAGCCCTTTGGTCTCCTCACAGTCCCAGACGCTCCTTTTATGGATCACGTAAAACTACCAGACAAGGTTAAACTGGGTCCAGCGTTTGACACATGTAATGAATAGGCTGACTTCACAGGAGACACTTAAATACCTCCTTTGCATTGTCTGCAATGACGTCAATAAATATTAGGAATTAGAAATACTAGAAACAGAAACTTTATGCTGATTACTTTCTGCTACAATATTATATGAATAGTTAGAGAGTCTCCCTTGAGTTCCTACAAATAATCTGACCAATCACATTTGGTCATTCATTCCTATGGCAGTTACTGCACTTCTATGACATTTGCTTCTAAATCATTTCACAAAACTTGCTTTCTCGTATAATGTTGGTGCAAAGGTAATGTTTCCCAATCACTTAACCACTTTAACCTTTCCCCTTCTTCAACTGCAATCAAGAAACCAAAATGTAAATCCAGAGTTGCAAAGTGTCTTTGAAAACACGGATAAAGGCTATCCAGAGCTAGTATTCACCTTGGTGCCTGATAGTAAAGCTTTATTGTTATTAACTGCCATCGAATCAACTTTGACTAATGACAATCTATATAAATAAAAATGTAATGTTAGTTTGTGGGATTAACAGAACTCAAAAACCACTGGACGAATTGACACCAAATTTGGACACAAGACACCTAACAACCCAATGTATGTCCTTCACTCAAAAATTGATTTTGTCATTTGGGAGTTGTAGTTGCTGGGATTTATAATTCACCTACAATCAAAGAGCATTCTGAACCCACCAACGATGGAATTGAACCAAACTTGGCACACAGTTCTCCCATGACCAACAGAAAATACTGGAAGGGTTTGGTGGGCATGTAGTTTTGGAGTTGTAGTTCACCTACATCCAGAGAGCACTGTGGACTCAAACAACGATGGATCTGGACCAAACCTACAGAATACTCAATATGCCCAAATGTGAACACTGGTGGAGTTTGGGGAAAATAGAATCTTGACATTTGGGAGTTGTAGTTGCTGGGATTTATAGTTCACCTACAATCAAAGAGTATTCTGAACCCCACCAATGATAGAATTGGGCCAAACTTCCCACACAGAACCCCCATGTGGGCCACAGCAACGCGTGGCAGGGGACAGCTAGTCCTATGAATAAGAGACTTCCAAATCACTCTGCTATCAATAGCCTTGCTGAGGTCTTACAGTAATGCCAGCCACATGACCTTGGAGGTGTCTATAGACAACGCCGGCTCTTCAGCTTAGAAATGGAGATGAGCACCACACCCCAGAGTCAGATGCGACTAGACTTAATGTTGGAAAAACCTTTACCTTTACCCTAATAACAACAATAATAGAGTAAAATAATAAATGTAATCATAATAATAGTAAATAAAGTAAAAAAATAAATGTAATAAAATAATAACAGAGCAAAATAATGAATAGCTTGACTCAAGTATAAGCCAAGGGGGGCTTTTTCAACCTAAAAAAGGGCTTGAAAACTCGGCTCATACTTGAGTATATACGTATATCTTGCTAAACACCATTGTCTTTTCTAGTGAGTCATGTCTTCTCATGATTTTGCCAAAGAGTGACAGTCCCAACTTACAACTTTTTCAACCAGAAACAGAAAAACAAAGTTGTCAAAATCCAATTATTATCCAAATTTCAGTAGACCCATTGATTCAATTACCTAATGGTGAACCAACTGCCATGTAGATCCCATAGCTTCAATAGATTTTCCATGGGCAAAAGTATGATAGCTGGGACCCATTGCTGGTTGCACGACAGGGGTCAGAATTAGAGAAGCGAAGACGTTACATATTTGAATGTATTTGCATATGATATCCGGATAGCCTTAAGCACTATGCTTGGCTGTTTGTTGTTCCCCCCTTTCTGCCCTCCCTTCTGGTGAACTATCTTGTTACGACTCTGTTGTACCTGCATCTCTCACTCGCTGCACTGTCTTGGCATTGGGTCCCAGCTATCATACTTTTGCCTTTCTATGGTTGGGATTAGCTACTGGATTTATACCATAGCATCTAAATATCCCCATCCAAAGTGAAATGTTTCCCACTAAACCAGTGGTTTCCAACCTTTGGTCCTCTGAGTGTTTTGGACTTCAACTCCCAGAAATCTGTACCATCTTAGCAGCTGTTAGGAATTGTGGGAGCTGAAATCCAAAACACCTGGAGGACCCACGGCTGGGAACCACAGTATTAAACTAATAGTAACAATCAAAAACAACAAGGAGCAACACGGTTTTTAATGTTAGAACATATGAGCATATGAATGGCAATCAGTATCAGTGTGAACACAGTATATTTAGGCAAGGATACCAAGTTCACATTTGAATAGCTGGACAGGAAAATAGATTTTTTAAAAAGAAAATTGCTGTTGTGTAGCCATAGTAACTTAAGGCTAAAAGGCATGATTTCCACAACTTACAATGCAAATACAAACTTACAACCTCTAAGGATGCCTGCCATAGATGTGGGCAAAACGTCAGGAGAGAGTGCTTTTGAAACATGGCCATACAGCCCGGAAAACTCACAGTAACCCAAATACAAACAGCTGTTTTCCTCCTTTTTTTGCATGGATATAGGGTGCTATCATAAAACAAAATATTTCCAATCCTTTTAGCCTGTAACTGTATGCTAATATCCTCACTAAAATTTTACAAGCAGGCCATTACCATAATTAATGGCCCTCTGATTAAATATATATCCTTCATTTGGAGATTTCGAGATGGCTCATTGATTTTAGGCTGTTGGGAATTCTATCAAAATGCAAACCACACTGGCTCAAGAGTTATGAAACAATTGCCTTTTGTTGAAACACCAACAAATTAATCGTAGTATTGCCAGACTGTGATTAAATGAGAAGTAACGAGACAAAAATACTCTTGTGAAACTAGAAGTACAGAGCAGTGTCTGCAGAAAAGGAGAACTGAGGGCAGGAAAGTGCCTGCCATTAACGTATTTCAGTAAAACAAAAGGTCACAGAAAGCTGTTCCTGGGAGCAAGCCACAAAAAGCATTATTTTCAGAGCAATAAGTGTAGAGTTATGATAATTGTCCTCCCAATCCTGCTATATGCCTGCGAAATGTGGACACTAAATTCCTGGAACGATTCCATCCACGTTGCCTCTGAAAAATCCTGCAAATCTCTTGAGAAGAAAGGCAGACAAATGTCAGCATGTTGGAAGAAGTAAAGACCACCAGCATTGAAGCGATGCTCCTTTGCCATCAACTCCGCTGGACTGGCCACGTTGTCCAAATGCCCGATCACAATCTCCCAAAAAACTTACTATACTCCGAATTCAAGAATGGGAAATGTAATGTTGGTGGACAGGAAAAGTGATTGAAAGATGGGCTTAAAGCTAACCTTAAAAACTGTGGCATAGACACCGAGAACTGGGAAGCCCTGGCACTTGCAGTTTCTTAAGTCACTTATCACACACACACACACACACACACACACACACACACACACACAAAACCATCACAGCAAGTAGCTGTGAAAATTTTAAACTCAGTGTTTGTGACCCTGTCCCAAGCTGTGCTTGCTGATCATTTTCCACTCTTGGGGTTAAAAAAAAAGAATGGTAAGTAGTTGCATCACTGAATGTAAAGTTTTTACAACTCACCATGACAAGCTCCTTGTCCTTCAGAAACATCCAGCCGTGCCCATTGGCTGAACCCATAGGAAAAATCACTGTTGACTCGACATATGTAGAACCCAGCGTCATCCACGCTCACCTGGTTGAACATCAGTTCTGGGGAATTCCCATGTGGAACCTAGGTGCGTGAGATCAAAGCAAGACAGCTTAGAAGGAACTGCAAAAATTGAGGAAGAATACACAGGAATACTTGGCATCCGAAGGAGAACAAAACTTCAATCAACATTTTCAGAATAGCACCTTTTTTAGCATCTTGCATTCCATTCCTCTCCCAAAAAATAAAAAAAAAAACCTCATCTTAGCACGACAACCATTCAGTGTGATGGCTGAAGATGAGGACTTGCCCAAGGCTATCTGCCATTTTTTTTTTCTGGTGGAGCAAAAACTGAAACCAAGATGTCTCCAGTATAAATCCAACACGTAGTCCATTGCATTTCAATGAGAATTAGTGAGAAGATGCAATTTCTAAAACACTCTTGATACTGAACTGAATGTAGTTACATACAAATAGTAGGTGAAAAAGACAGAACATGCACAAGTGTTCAGTGACAAGGAAAGCATGGAGGAAGTGGCAATAAATATCATTAGTCCTTGGCACTTCATGCGTCAATGAATGCTGAGTGAAATGGACTATTGTTTGGGGACACATTTGTTAGTCAGCCTTGGGCAAGTCATTATAACTTTCCCAAGAAATGCCAGAGCTCAGGTTATGAATGACATTACAGCCATTTCTCAATTTTAACAACACAAATATTTGCGTCTGGTTCTTGCATTTGTGAGCTAACAACCACATTTATGAGGCTATACTATCAAAAGGCTTCATTCTAATGAATTATCTGCCAGATTTGCCAGATTTTAAGAGTGTGGCAGAAATAATAATTTAATATTCTTAAGCTAAAGGTATTTCAGAACATTATTTGACAGTAAAGGTAAAGGTTTTCCCCTGAGATTAAGTCCAGTTGTGTCCGACTCTGGGGATTGGTGCTCAGTCATCTCCATTTCTAAGCTGAAGAGCTGGCATTGTTCATAGACACCTCCAAGGCATGACTGCATGGAGCAACATTACCTTCCAGCTGGAGCAGTACCTATTGATCTACTCACATTTGCATGTTTTCGAACTGCTAGGTTGGCAGAAGCAGGGGCTAACAGCAGGAGCTCATGCAGGTCTCCGGATTCGAACCTGCAACCTATCGACCAGCAAGTTCAGCAGCTCAGCAATTTAACCCACTGTGCTACTGATACTCCCTATTATTTCCAAGGATTAATAACCATGATTCATCAAGGCACAAACACTTGACAGCTTATTATTACTTGCTAATAACACTGTACTATTTTATTTATTTGGAAACAGTGTTTTCTTTCAGTATTGTTCACTGGTATTTCCCATGTACTTTTCAGAAACCAGATAAAAGGTTATCCAGCATCATCACCTTAAAGCCAGTATTGATTTTAACTCATTTTTCAATTGCTTTTATCAACTGATGTCGCCATCAAGATCTATAAAAAGGGCAATCATGTTATAGCACGATGTCCGCTGGAAGGAAGAAATGGCCACAGCAGAACTCAAAACAGAGTGGTGGCAATTTTGCCCTATAGCAATCGGACTTTTTCATTCATGCTGAATGCAATGTAATTGCTTTTTAAAGCCTTAACTCCAAACGACACGTTATGATTTGTGGTACAGGGCCAGAGCACCTTGTGGTCACTCTTTGACAGAAATATGAGCTTAGGGTGACACATTCAATCATTTAATAAGCCAATAAGCCACATTGGTTTTTTCTCCCCTTGTAAGGCACTTAGAAAAACACCTAGGACTGCAACCAAAAATGGCTATAGGTGTCTCTCTGTGCAACATCAGTAATGTTATTTTTATATTTTATGTTCAAAGAGACAAAGTACCTATTTTGAATGGGCAATCCTGAATCCTCAGAAGCTATGTGAGCAAATGAAGGGAAAAAAACTGTACAGTGTATTATCCATACTAACAAATGTAAACATTCAACTTTGGTTAAGTAAAGGTAAAGCTTTCCCCTGACATTAAGTCTAGTCGTGTCCGACTCTGGAACGTGGTGCTCATCTTCATTTCTAAGTGAAAGAGCCAGCATTGTCCGTAGATACCTCCAGGTCATGTGGCCAGCATGACTGTATGGAACATTGTTACCTTCCTGCAGAAGTGGTACCTATTGATCTACTCACATTTGCCTGTTTTCAAACTACTAAGTTGCCAGAATTATTTATTTATTTATTTAAAAGTTTTGTATACCGACCTTCTCACCTCTCTTGAGGGACTCAGACCGGTTTCCAACCATAATATCACATACAGTCAATAAAACATCATAATGCATATTACAGTAAAACATTAAAACAGCAATTACAATCAATAACTATAATGGTCAGTCGTCATACTAAAATCATTGCTCATCATCCTCCTTCCATATCTCAGGGTGTTGGCTCACTCGTCGAATGCCTGTCTCCATAACCAAGTCTTCACCTGTTTCCTAAATGTCAGGATAGACGGGGCGGTTCTGATCTCCAGTGGGAGAGAGTTCCAGAGCCGAGGGGCCACCACCGAGAAGGCCCTGTCCCTCGTCCCCACCAGACGCGCTTGCGAGGCCGGTGGGACCGAGAGCAGGGCCTCTCCAGACAGGCCTAACAGTGGGAGGTCACCCCACTCCCCAGATTCAAACCACCGACCTTTCGGTCAGCAAGTTCAGCAGCTTGGCAGTTTAACCCGCTGCGCCACCAGGGGACCCTTGACTTTGGTTATCGTATCCCAATTATGGAATGCCTTTTAATACCGTAACACCTACAGGGCGAGTTTAAAAGTATTTTACTAAATAAATTTATTTATTTATTTATTTACTTTCCTTATATAACGCTGTTCTCAGCCCGAAGGCAACTCACAGCGGTTCACAACCAACAGAACAGCAGAAATTCAATGCCAGATATAAAACAGTTAACAATCCCGTGCAGCACACAATTAATAAACACTTATTACAATAACTAATCACTATCATCTCATCCACAAAAACATAATCCAGACTCGTCAACCATTTTCCATTCCTATGTTCATTACCAATTATTGTACTAATTATTTGAACGCCTGCTCAAACAACCAGGTCTTAACTTTTTTACGGAATACCATTAGAGATGGTGCTAGCCTAATGTCCGTGGGAAGGGCGTTCCACAGCCGAGGGGCCACCACCGAGAAGGCCCTATCTCTCATCCCCGCCAACCGTGCTTGAGAAGCAGGCGGGATCGAGAGTAGGGCCTCCCCAGAATATCGCAAAGCCCTGGTGGCCCTACTGTCTAAATAAAGGTGTAGAAGAACACTTTGCCATCAGCAGTGATTAATTTAATGTTTTCTCTGATATAAGTGGTTGTCAACAATAAGATCATAAGGAAGTGGCAGGTATCTATTCAGTGCTAATGTTTTATAATGAAAATGCTTTGACCCAAAGGGCAACAATTAATATTTGTATTTTATTTGAATGCTACCAACATAAAACCCACATCCTTTTCATGAAGTCTTTCAAACTATCCTCCAAAGGCAATACTTTTGTTCTGAGACTGGAACCTTTGACTTGTGATAAAACATTAATAAGAATATTTTTAAAACTAGAGACGTTGACTGATGAACAACCAATTTAGCCACATGACATTTCTAAAACTTAATGGTACAACTGTTACAATTTACTTTACTTTGTCAGTCCATGTTAACCCAGTTAACATCACTGGCCACACAACCAACCCACACAACTTTGTGAACTTTAGTTGTTTTATGTTCAGGTTTTATGTCACTATATATTTTTTGATTGATTGTGATTTATTTAATTGATAGATGTTGGATTCTAAGTTGTTTCCATATGTGGGGTTATTCTGTATTATTATGTCAGTATACTTGTTGGTTTACTGAGGCATTGAATGTTTGCCTTATTGTATATTAAAATCCATCCTGAATCCTCCTGAGGAGATAGGGCAAAACATAAAAAAAAATTATTATTATTATTATTATTATTATTATTATTATTATTAATAATAATTTATGGAGTCCCCGGTGGCACAACGGGTTAAACCGCTGAGCTATTGAACTTGCTTACCAAAAGGTCGCAGGTTTCAATCCTGGGAGCAGCGTGAGCTCCCGCTGTTAGCCCCAGCTTCTACCAACCTAGCAGTTCAAAAACATGCAAATGTGAGTAGAGCAATAGGTACCTTCCTTGGTGGGAAAGTAACGGCGCTCCATGCAGTCATGCTAGCCACATGACCTTGGAGTTGTCTACGGACAACGCTAGCTCTTCGGCTTAGAAATGGAGATGAGCGCCAACCCCCAGAGTTGGACATGACTGGACTTAATCTCAGGGGAAAAATTTTAACTTTACCTTATTAGAATTTCAAAATCACCAGAAGTCTTAAGACTGGGAAATTATTTTAAAAGAAAATCGGAACTGTCAAGTATGTTAACAATATTCAACCACGGTCGCAGAAATATTCATGGGTCTTGTGTTGTTCATTTTGAGCATGAAATGGAAGACACAACTGAGGATGCCTTCTGTTCTAAAAGGTATGTTTTTTTATTCCTACTTTAATTATCAACATTCTCTGTGTACTGAGACCTTCATATGTTTTATTTACCATTTTATCCCCTTTAAACCACTGATAATGAAGAAGTGGATAACCAGCTGCCCAGCAACTCATCTTCACCATTTGACCAGATATGGCTGTCAGAGATTCTGGTTCTAGAACAATCTTTATACCTATAAAATAAGAAGAAGAAGGCTTGATATAAGTTATTTTTAATGCAAAAAAAACTTATTCTTCTTGATACTTTAAAAATTACTAAATATAACACATCAACTCATTTAAAAGACTGATGTTTGTTTCACTTACAAGACAAATTAGAATCAAAGGCATACAAACATTGAGAACAAAGTGCTAAAAAGGCACAAAATATATACATGTTCAACACTTATTTATTTATTTGTATCAAAAGCATTGCATAAATTAGTATAAAATTGATAAAAATAGAAAGAGCAGAAGTGGACAAATATCTTTTAACCAAAAACGGGCAACAGCAATGGTATTGTCTGTAGCCTCCAACAATTCTTCCTCTGTACATGAGGCAGGGAATAGTGGACAAGCATGTTCAATGATAATGCACATTTAAATCCATACTTTTAATCCAAAATTTTAAAAAATGAATATAATGAACGGCTGGGCTTAGCACAACGGGTTAAACCGCTATGCTGCAGAAAATCCTGCCTATCAAAAGGTTGGCAGTTCAAGCCCGGGTCAGGGTGAGCACCCGTCGTCAGTCCCAGCTTCTGCTCACCTAGGAGATTAAAAACAGAAATGTGAGCAGATGAATAAGTACTGCCTTAAGCAGGGAGGTAATTACAAGGCGCCCATAAGGACATGCCAGCTATTTGATTGGGAGGATGTCCATGGAAGATGGAACGACAGCACCCCCCATGGTTGGAATCGAGCACAGCCTCCAGATGCCAGAAATGGAAAAAGCCTTTACCACTGTTAATTGTGTAATGGCATTGAACGCTTGCCATATATGTATTCTGCAATCTGTCTGGAGTCTCCTTAGGGAGCTAGAGCAGAATATAAATAAAGTGTGTATGTGTATGTGTACACACGCACTCACTCACACACACAATAATCATGAAGTCCAGCTGGAAGAAAACAATGTATTTTCTGTGAAACCAATCCCTATACACTGTAAATATTTCATGTGCCATTAATATGTAATATAAACAGACTCTGTTTTCTCTACCTACTTCCAACACAGTAACTTATTTTCAAAATTCCAACATGAATATTATAAAATTGAAGATGAAAAACACCTAATTTTAAGTCATTATGCTCCAGTACACCCTTTGTTGATGGCAAATTTGCTCTCTAAGAGGTGGTTTCAGGATTATGTTTGGGGCATTTTGTGCTGAATCCAAACTCTTGCCTCCTGCATCGAAAATATAAGGAGCCTGCCTCAGGAGAAGAACATAATATATAGCCTTTGGTTAATTTTACTAACGTTCCCAATCTGCAGGGTGCAAACAAAGCCCAATTATTTGAAATAATTTAGAAACATGCAAACAGTAGCACAGCATACTGCAAGACAAATATTACCCTAAACATTAACTAACTAATAAAACTATATAAGGTGCTATTCCACTAAGAATACAGACACAGTATGAGAATCTCTACACCATGAATGCATTTGTACAGCAGAACACAACATTCAAACCTGAGTTTTGTTATATAACTTCCACATATGATTTGCCTGACTCCAGTTTTAAAGTCCCTGTTCTGACATCTGAGCTTCAATCATTGCTCATTCAATTTGTAAAGACTGCTGCATTTGCATTAGCAATGATTACAGAAATTGTCAAAGGCTTTCATGGCCGGAATCACTGGGTTGTTCTAGGTTTTTCGGGCTGTATGGCCATGTTCTAGAAGCATTCTCTCCTGACATTTCACCTGCATCTATGTCAGGCATCCTCAGAGGTTGTGACGTCTTAACCTGCCATAGATGCAGGCAAAACATCAGGAGAGAATGCTTCTAGAACATGGCCATACAGCCCAAAAAAACCTACAACAACCCATTACAGAAATTGGTTTCCTGCTGTAGAAAAATTTACAGAGTTTCATGACAATATCAATATAAAAACAAATAACACGAATTAAGGGACAATGCATAACTAGATGTAAATCTCTTAACACGTTATTTGAAACCCACTAGGAAAATGATTGCCTGAATTTTAGACTTTAAATCAACAGAGTAAAATTACCATTATGAAAATGTTGACCCTCTGTGTTTACAATACATTAGCAGACAGCACTTCCATTTGCTCTCTTTGAATCACTGTTAGTTCTACTTCTTATATACATGAATAGCTGCCGCTTTCAACAGAACTCCTAGGCTACATGATACTCGTACATATCAAGAAACAAAGAAAAACACATTCTTGTTTAATTCAGTCACAAACAAGGATGTGCCAGACCCATTTAGCTGGATGGCCTGTGGTTGATAACTAATCTAGGATAGGAAATAGAAGAGTTCCTCCCTGCACCCCATCCCTCAAAGATTGAGAAAAGGGTTTTCTCTTGAAACTTCCCATATTTTTCCAGATCTTCACACCATTATTTGTGTTCCATGGAATGTAAAATGTTTAGCATGTTAAAGAAGGAGAGAGAAACCCAGCAATACTATAAGAATTACCCATGCTGTACAGCAGGCAAGGGAAAACTTTGCCCCCCCCCCCCAGGTGTTTTGGACTTCAACTCCCACAATTCCTAACAGCCTTTCAGGCCAAATGAGGTGGGGGTGAAGGGAGTCTCATAGAATCAGGGAGTTGGAAAAGACTTCATGGGCCATCCAGTCCAACCCCATTCTGCCAAGAAGCAGGAAAATCGCAAAGCACCCCCAACAGATGGCCATCCAGCCTCTGCTTATAAGCCTCTAACACACTTCTGGGCAGAGAGTTCCAGTGTGGAACAACTCTCACAGTCAGGAAGTTCTTCCTAATATTCAGGTAGAATCTTCTTTCCTGTGGTTTGAAGCCATTGTTCCGCCTCCTATTCTGCAGGGCAGCAGAAAACAAGCTTGCTCCCTCCTCCCTATGACTTCCCCACACATACTTATACATGGACCTCATCATGTCTCCTCTCAGGCTTCTATTCTGCAGGCTAAACATGCCCTGGTCTTTAAGCCACTCCTCATACAGTTTGTTCTCCAGACCCTTGATCATTTTAGCTGCCCTCCTCTGGACACATTCCAACATGTCAACATCTTGCTTCAATTGTGGTGCCCAGAATTGGACACAATATTCCAGGTGTGGTCTAACCAAGGCAGAATAGAGGGGTAGCATGACTTCCCTGGATCTAGACATTAGACTCCTACTGATGCAGACCAAAATCGCGTTGGCTTTCTTCACATTGTTGGCTCATGTTCACCTTCCTGTCCACGAGGACCCCAAGATCTTTTTCACATGTACTGCTCTATAGCCAGGAGTCCCCCATTCTGTATCTTTGCATTTCATTTTTTTTCTGCCTAAGTGGAATCTCTTGCATTTGTCACTGTTGAACTTCATTTTGTTAGCTTTGGCCAATCATCTCTCTAATTTGTTCGTTGGCCAATCATCTCTCTAATTTGGCCAGTCATCTCTCTAATTCTGCTCCTGTCTCTTAGAATATTGGCTATCCCTCCCATTTGGTGCGAAAGACTGCTCAAACTTCCGTACAGTGGCCCTTATTTCTCATGCCAGTAAGGTAATGCTCAAGATCCTGCAAGGAAGACTCCAGCAATACATGGAGCGAGAGTTGCCAGATGTTCAAGCTGGGTTTGGAAAAGGCAGAGGAACGAGAGACCAGATTGCCAATATCCGCTGGATAATGGAGAAAGGCAGGGAGTTTCAGAAAAACATCTACTTCTGCTTCATTGCCTATTCTAAAGCCTTTGACTGTGTGGATCATAATAAATTGTGGCAAGTTCTTAGTGGGATGGGCATCCCAAGCCACCTTGTCTCTCTCCTGAGGAATCTGTACAAGGACCAAGTAGCAACAGTCAGAATTGACCACGGAACAACAGACTGGTTCAAGATTGGGAAAGGCGTACGGCAAGGCTGCATACTCTCACCCAACCTTTTTAACTTGTATGCAGAACACATCATGCGATGTGCGGGGCTTGATGAATGCAAAGCTGGGGTGAAAATTGCTGGAAGAAACATTAACAACCTCATATATGCGGATGACACCACTCTGATGGCCGAAAGCGAGGAGGAGCTGAGGAGCCTTCTAATCAAGGTGAAAGAAGAAAGCGCAAAAGCTGGGTTGCAGCTAAACATCAAAGATTATGGCAACAAGAATGATTGACAACTGGAAAATAGAGGGAGAAACCGTGGAGGCCGTGACAGACTTTGTATTTCTAGGTGCAAAGATTACTGCAGATGCAGACTGTGACCAGGACATCAGAAGACGCTTACTTCTTGGGAGGAGAGCAATGTCCAGTCTCGATAAAATAGTGAAGAGTAGAGACATCAGACTGGCAACAAAGATCCGCCTAGTCAAAGCCATGGTATTCCGTGTAGTAACCTACGGATGTGAGAGCTGGACCTTAGGGAAGGCTGAGCGAAGGAAGATAGATGCTTTTGAGATGTGGTGTTGGAGGAAAGTTCTGAGAGTGCCTTGGACTGCGAGAAGATCCAACCAGTGAGGAGACAGCAAAGCCTGGAGAAGACAATTATGCTGGGGAAAGTGGAAGGAAAAAGGAAGAGGGGCGATCAAGGGCAAGATGGATGGATGGCATCCTTGAAGTGACTGGACTGACCTTGAAGGAGCTGGGGGTGGTGACGGCCGACAGGGAGCTCTGGCGTGGGCTGGTCCATGAGGTCACGAAGAGTCGGAGATGACTGAACAAATGAACAACAACCCATTTGGTGTTGTCTGCAAACTTGATGATCATGCCTTATAACCCTTCATCTAAGTCATTGATAAAGATGTTGAACAGAAGTGGGCCCAGGACGGATCCCTCCGGCATCCTCATCACTTTAATCTGTCATCCACAGGTTACAATTCACTCTTCATGTCAGACAATGCCACTTAAGGCATTACCTAATACCCTGAAATGTCTTCACACATTAACCACATTGAAACAGTTGGGCCCATTCCAATTCAAAACTGAATTGGAACAGGATCTTCAAAGCTATGGAACCACGGGTTTTGGAGAGACCCCGTAGGGCCATCTAGTTCAACTCTCTGCCATGCAGGAAAATACAATCAAAGCACTCCTAACCAATGATCATGCAGCCTCTGCTTAAAAATGTCAAAAGAAGATGCCATCCTATTCTGAGTCACTTACTGCCACTGTCTTGTCCCCATCATAGTGGCAACCAAGGAGCACAAAACTGCTCATGGTCATCGCTTCCCAAAGCACCAGCAGAATTGGAGAGAGGGGAAAGTAGGGAGTGTTCTTTTCCCACTACCCTCTCCAAGTCACACTAGTGCTTTGGCAAGTATCAGCTCTATGATCACTGTTACGGCAGTGAAAAGAGGGTGATGGTAAGCGTGGCCATCCCACGTTGCCAAATGGGGTTCAGTGTCAATGGCCAGTGTGCATTCCCTCTCACTACTGGGATGGCATGGTGCTTGACCATGCAGACACCCCCGTGCCACCACAATGGCTCAGAGGCTGCCCTTGCAAACTCCCCTGGGGCTGATCTGGAGTACTCCGCTCTGGTTTCGCATGGGGTAAATGGCTTGTGTAGACACACCCTAAGAAACGATTTGCTCAATGCCTTAAAAGAGGGAAAGTGCTTTCTACATAAAATGTCTAGCTTATCTCTTTGTGACTCACTGCAATGCCAGCTCTGCATTTGAAGACAAGATCTTCCATTGAGATAATGAGCATTCAACCCTTTCCTAAGCACTGAACCACCTTTGTAGTTGCTTACTGCTTTTGAAAGCCCCCTCCCTTATATTTTAACTTCAATATATCTGTATACTCTCATTAAATTTGGTCTTTGAGAGACACTAGGTTACATATAGTGAGTATATTCAAGACAAGGAATCTTCAGATACCTTTTTGCTAGTTTCTTCCTGCTTAAAGAACATGGTATACACTGTTGGGTGCCTTCAAATAGTTTCCAACTCATGGTGTCCCTAAGGCAGTGGTTCCCAACCTGGAGTCCCCAGATGTTTTTGACCTTCAATTCCCAGAAATCCTAACAGCTGCTAAACTGGCTGGGATTTCTGGGAGTTGTAGGCCAAAAACATATGGGGACCCCAGGTTGGGAACCACTGCCCTAAGACAAACTTAGCATGTGGTCTTCTTGACAGGCTTTGTTCAGAGAGGGTTTGTCTTTGTCTTCTTCTGAGGCTGAGAGTATGTGATCAGTGTCACTTGATTCTCAACCTTCCTAATGCCGCAACCCCTTAATATAGTTCTTCATGTTGTGGTGACTCCAACCATAACATTAATTCTTGCTACTTCATAACTGTAATTTTGCTACTGTTATAAACCATAATATAAATATCTGATATGAAGGATGTACTTTCAAACACTGGATCAAATTGGGCACAAATACCCGATAAGCCCAAATTTGCATACTGGTGAGGTTGGAGATGGGACTGATCTTGTCATTTGGGAATTATAGTTGCTGGGATTTATAGTTCACCTACAATCAAAGAGCATTCTGAACTCCACCAACAATGGAATTGAACCAAACTTGGCAAACAGAACTCCCATGACCAACAGAAAATATTGGAAGGGTTTGGCAGACAGTGAACTTGAGTTTCGGAGTTGTAGTTCACCTACATCCAGAGAGCACTATGGACTCAAACAATGATGGATTTGGACCAAACTTGGCATGAATACTAAAATGTGAACACTGGTGGAGTTTGGGAAAAATAGACTTTGACATTTGGGAGTTGTAGTTGCTGGGATTCATAGTTCATCTACAATCAAAGATCATTCCGAACCTCACCAATGATAGAATTTGGCCAAACTTTACACAGGGAACCACCATGACCAACAGAAAATACTATGTTTTCTGATGGCTTTTGGCAACCCCTCTGACACCCCCTGGTGACCCCTTCAGGGGTCCTGACCCCCAGGTTGAGAAACACTGCTCTATGGACAAGTGGGGATTCAAACCCTGGTTGCCAGAGCCACATAGCACATCTTTCCAGGCTAGCAGCCATGAATGTATATAATCCCCCTGTAAAGTCATCCATGATGACAAATATCACCACAACCCATGACAATGAATTCCAGGGTAAAGTAGTTTATTTTTACCTGTCTGGAATTTCCCACAATCACTACAGTGCAAAGGGTGAGGTTGGGGAAATCTGGCACAGCCCATCTTTAAAAGGATGTTTAACAAAGACACATGGATGATCTTGAAAACCAAACTCACTTGGAGGATTGAGATACTGAAGTGCTTCAGTATGTTTCAGAGCCTGCATCATTTCAGTCAGTTCCAGCACAGTGCAGCCCCTTTCGCCCATCAGCTGAAGGAGGCCCCTGCTGGGACTGCCTTCAGGCTCCAATACTTGGAGAGAGCATTGCTCCAGTTCTGGAGAGCTGCAAAAAGTGGCAAAACATAAAACAAAACAAAAACAAGTTGGAAAGTATGTTTACATACACATGAGAAATGTGGGAAACAAATACTACTGTCTCATACACTGTATCAACCAAAACATTGTGTGTGTTGATTGAATCCTAGCAGCTGTAGTTCTACAAGGCCTTCGATGTTTTCTGCCAAAGTATGCTAGTGCCTCACCAAACTACATCTCCCATGCTCCCACAGCATTGAGCCATGGCCGTTAAAGTGTCATCAAACTGCATTWTTTCTACAATAATCTYGAAGGTCAARCATTGTCACCCCTGTGTTAAGAGTACAGAGATAGCTTTTGCTATTTACAATAGGGTAAAGGTAAAGGTTTTCCCCTGACATTAAGTCCAGTCATGTCCGACTCTGGGGGGGGGGGGGTGCTCATCTCCATTTCTAAGCCAAAGAGCCATCATTGTCCATAGACACCTCCAAGGTCATGTGGCCGGAATGACGGCACGAAGCACCTTTACCTTCCCGCTGAAGCGGTACCTATTGATCTACTCACATTTGGCATGTTTTCAAACTGCTAGGTTGGCAGAAGCTGGGGCTGACAGCAGGAGCTCACGCCACTCCCCAGATTCGAACCTGTGACCTTTCGGTCAACAAGTTCAGCCGCTCAGTGCTTTAAAAATGTTAATTCAGCTTGGAAAAGCCCACCACCTTTGTATCTGCACGAGTTGGAGATGTGATTCATGCCGATACAACGAGAGGAATCTCCCCTTAGGGATGCTATATCCCTGCATCTGTTAAAAGTGATTGAATGGCAAAAATCGTCCTTCTTGGGACAGGTGTGCAGCTACAAGGAGGAATCAATGCAGTTTGACACCACTTCAACTATTATGGAGTAATATTGTGGAATCACAGGAGTTGTAATCTATGGAGGCCCCTATCACACAACTAAATAAAATCCCACATTATCTGCTTTGAACTGGGATATATGGCAGTGTGGACGCAGGTAACCCAGTTCAAAGCAGATATTGTGGGTTATTCTGCCTTGCTACTCTGGGTTAGATGGCTATGTGGAACAGCCTTTTGACAGAGAGGGCTCAAGGCCTTGTATAACAACAACTCCCATGGTTTTATAGCATTTAGCCAATGCAGATAAAGGGGTGTCAAACGGTATGATATTCTACAGCATAGATGCACCAAAGGCAGAGTACTGAGCTCTGCAAAGACACAGGGGGCAATTAGGATTCACAGGATCCTTTAGTAAATATTTATTTCAACACACATGCTGAGAATTGCAGTAAGACCACAAATTGTAGCCATACAGGAAAACCTCTACAATTCCCACTGACATGCCAGACAGGACCACAGTGCATGGGCCTCATCATGTCAACTCTCAGCCTTCTCTTCAGCAGGGTAAACATGACCAGCTCTTTAAGCCGCTCCTCATAGGGCTTGTTGATCATTTTAGCTGCCCTCCTCTGGACGCATTCCAGCTTGTCAACATCTCCCTTCAATTGCAGTGCCCAGAATTGGACACTGTGATTCCAGGTGTGGTCTGACCAAGGCAGAATACAGGGGTAGCATGACTTCCCTGGATCTAGACACTAGACTCTTACTGATGCAGGCCAAAATCCCATTGGCTTTTTTAGCCGCTGCATCTTAAGGAACTTTCCCCTACCGGCTCTTAGGAATTATGGGAGTTGGAGTCCAAAAACACCTGGAGGGAGGGCTGAAGTTTGCCCATGCCTGGAGTAGAAGCACCCTCTGAGCTGGGAAACTAACTTTCCCCTAGTTCCTTCCCGCTTGCATCCTTCACCAGTTGGATGTGACAGGGCCCGACCTTGGACTCTAACTTGGGAAAGTTCTTAGGTTCCTTAGTTGGAGAAGTCCCGCCTTGGATCCTGAAGCAGGCGCCTCACCTGAGCCTGAGCCTGGGCCCGCCTTGGCTGCTGGCGACTTGGGCCAGCTCCCTCCAGCCTTTGCCCGGCGGCGCCCGGTCCAGCGAGTCGCTGAGCAAAGTCAGGAGGGGCCCCGGCAGGCGCTGCAGCGGCAGAGAGTTGGAGCAAGAGGAAGAGGAGGAAGAGGAGGCAGGTCCCGGTCCCGGTCCCGACCCGGCCATCCTTTGCGGCCTCCCGGCGCAGCAGAGCTACATCGGAAGCCAAGAGTTTGCATGGAAACCGAAAGGAAGGGCGGGCGAGAGAAACTCCCCCGGCCGGGCGGGACTGGAGGCGGGGTCGCTTGGCTCCAGGAAGAGGCAAAAGGGGGAAAGTCCCTCCGAACAGGAAACCCAAGAGAGAGAGAGAAGCCTCGCCCTGCCAAACCTGCGGGTTACTTCTCCCTCCCATAGACAGGAGAGGAGCCGCCTCCACCTGCAGGGAAGGCCCTGGGTATGGATTTATTATCATGTCAGGAGCGAAACAATGTATTTGACAAAGCACAAAGTTTAAAAACTTGGAATCATAGAGTTGGAAGAGACCTCATGGCCATCCAGTCCAACCCCATTCTGCCAAGAAGCAGGAAAATTGCATTCAAAGCACCCCCGACAGATGGCCATCCAGCCTCTGTTTAAAAGCTTCCAAAGAAGGAGCCTCCACCACACTCCGGGGCAGAGAGTTCCACTGCTGAACAGCTCTCACAGTCAGGAAGTCCTTCCTAATGTTCAGATGGAATCTCCTTTCTTGTAGTTTGAAGCCATTGTTCTGCGTCCTAGTCTCCAGGGAAGCAGAAAACAAGCTTGCTCCCTCCTCCCTATGACTTCCTCTCACATAGATTTGGGGCTTGAGGGGCTTCAGCCCCCTCCCAAATTCTCATGGTCGTCCGCGAGAAGGCCTTACTTGGTACATTATTTAAACTGTTATGTTTATTCATATCATGATCTGATCACCATGCTCAATATATCCCATATGCATGGGGGTATTGGGGTAACGATACAAAAGGTTTGCTAGGGTAGACCCTCTTTCACTCAGACTCAGCCCCCCCCCCCCCAATCAAACTCAGCTCCCCCCAAATCAAAATCCTGGCTACGGGCCTGTCTCACATACTTATACATGGCTATCATGTCTCCTCTCAGCCTTCTCTTCTTCAGGCTAAACATGCCCAGCTCCTTAAGCCGCTCCTCATAGGGCTTGTTCTCCAGACCCTTGAACATTTTAGTCGCCCTCCTCTGGACACATTCCAGCTTGTCAATATCTCTCTTGAATTGTGGTGCCCAGAATTGGACACAATATTCCAGGTGTGGTCTAACCAAAGTGGAATAGAGGGGTAGCATTACTTCCCTGGACCTAGACGCTATCCCTCCCAATTTGGTGTTGTCTACAAACTTGATTATTGTGCCTTCTAACTTATCAAACTGCATAAATTCTTCATTGTAGATGCATCCCTGGATAATTTATGATAGCAAAATAAAACTTGTCATCTTCTACTTTTGGTTTGACAGTTTCTCTGTAACTGCAATTAGAAAACCACTAGGGGTATCAAAATATTGCTAATAATATTATTTTAGATGTGCAATTTTGCATTTATTCTTTTATATTTATTACACCTAAATTTCCAAGAATGATAAAAATATATTCTTCAGCTCTTGCTGCATTCCCTAGGTGCTTACCTAAATTTTCATGTTCATCTTTGTAAATGCTTACAAATTGTTTTTCCCCCCTGTTGGTAACAGTTAAGTCTCTTTAGTTTCCTGGATTAATAGTACTAGTATTTCCTATTTCTTCCCACCTGTCTAGAACTCAAGATATGCAACTGGAGACTCCAAGGGGATTAATTTCTATTCAAACAAGCAAGCAGATAATGAAGAACATGCTTGTGAATTAAAGCTGGGATTCTTGATTTGAAAAGGCAATACATTTAATACCAGCTCTCTTTGTGCTAAATAGCAAAGAGGTTCCTTTTAAAATATTCTGTCAGGGAGAATATTGGAGCTGAAGGGCTGTCTCCCGCCAAGATCTTCGTGGGAGAAGTCACCTGCTGTCGCGTGATGAAATAGACCACCCGATCAGATGCGCGGTGATATGATGAGACCCAGCAAAACAACATTGGTATTCCAGCCTCTCTTGACACAAGAAGGAATTACTTACACAACCTGGTTTTCTCAAAGAGCTCCACTTCAGCAGAAGAACAAATCCTCCATTTGTATACGGTATATCACAACAAGCTTTTCCTTATAGACTATACCAATGTAAGTTTGAACGCTTAACATTGTAGTTAACAGAGAGATCATAGTTTGCTGTATGCTGTTAGTTTGCTGTGTTTGTGTCCTCTTTTTTTCTTACATCAGAATACCAATGTCTAAATCTTGATTTCATTTGGATATATCTGGAGCACTCTAAATCCTGTAGTTAATCAGCATTGTTATATATAACTTGCAATCAATTACTAACATTTGCCTTACTCCATTCACATTTTTTCAGCTTTTTTGGATATCCTCAAATCACTCTTAAATTTTTGCTCAAGGTAATTGTCAAATAAAGTTGGTGGGAAATGGAGACAGAAAATAAAGTCAGCAGGCTGTGTCTACATCAAAACTATAGCTGCAATCATAGATATTAAGAATGTGAAAATATATATTATACTTGATCCTTCATTCTATGAGATCTCTGAGAAATTAAACAAGTATTTTCTTAAATATATATAATGTGTACTTACCCAAAACGCAGGCCGAGTAATCGGCACATGTTGAATGTATCAGATACAGTTACATGATGAGCATTTAAAAATAGAATAAGACAGGATTAGCATGTGTCTGTGATCAACTGAATTTCATGAGCTCCTCTTAAAATATGCATAGGCAATAGTCCTCATATTTCAATAATCTGCAAGTATTACTGTTATTATCATCATTCACGAATTTGGAGAATAGTAAAATTAAATTAGAATTCTGTAGTTAGGCTATGATGTTCCATTTCTATCAATGATGATGATTTTAAAGTGAATTCTGTAGTAAGGCTGTGATATTGCATTTCTATCAATGGCTAGGAGACAAAGTAAGTGAGAAAGAAAGAAAAAACAGAAGCAGTTTTCAAATTTATTAATTTACTGAGATACAATTGGGGAGTACAAATTTAACCCTTGCATATTTTCACTGGAACAGAATAGAGCAGTGTTTCTCAATCTTCCTAATGTGGCAACCCCTGAATACAATTCCTCATATTGTGGTGAACCCCATCTATAAAATTATTTTGGTTGCTACTCCATAACTGTCATTTTGCTGCTGTTATGAATCGTAATGTAAACATCCCATATGCAGGATGTTTTTCATTCACTGGACCAAATTTGGCTCAAGCATCCGACACGCCCAAATGTGAATACTAGGCAAGGGAGATTGATTTTGTCATTTGGGAGTTGTAGTTGCTGAGATTTATCACAAAGAGCATTGTGAACTCCACCAATGATGGAATTGAACCAAACGTGGCACACAGAACTCCCATGACAAGAGAAATACTGGAAGGGTTTGGTGGGCATTGACCTTGAGTTCGAGAGTTGTAGTTCACCTCCATCCAGAGAGCACTATGGACTCAAACAATGATAGATCTGGACCAAACTTTGTACGAATACTCAATATGCCCAAATGTGAACACTGGTGGAGTTTGGGAAAAATAGTCCTTGACATTTGGAAGTTGTAGTTGCTGGGATTTATAGTTCATCTACAATCAAAGATCATCCTGAACCCCATCAATGACAGAATTTCGCCAAACTTCCCACACAGAACCTCCATGATCAACAGAAAATACTGTGTTTTCTGATGGTCTTTGGCAACACCCCCTTTACGACCCCACAAGGCGTACCGAACCCCAGGTTGAGAAACAATGGAATAGAACAACTGTACAGAAATAGTTGAACAGCGCACCACTGTTGTGTTTTGATTCCTTGGTTTTTTTAAAGCTCCAGTTCTCCAAATAAATGGGTTGGGTGCAGAAAAAGGATGGAAGTAGGCAGCCATCAAGCCTATCCCAAATACTCTCCTTTGGGTCAGGGGGCCTTCAAAATGCAACAGGAGATACGATGTTTCTTTCCTCTGAACTTCCTAATCCCGGGGACTGCATCCTGAATCTGACCCACCAAAGCTTTTCCCTTGTCCCTAACACTACTGCATGCATGCACAGTGCATGCTCGTGGTGGTAGCAGCAGCAGCAGCAGCGTGTGCATGCGGCATATGTCAATGCATGCGACATAGGCCGTATGCATGGAGCACCAATACACAATTAAAGTCCATTCCCCCAACAGTCTGAGATACTGTGAACCAGTCTTCCACTTAAAAAGTTTGGGGACACCTGCCCTAATTCAGTGCCATTCCACATGTTGCCCTAACTCTCTGGAGAACCTTTATGAGGAGTCCACTATCAATATAAGGTTTCCTTCCTTCTTCCCAATAAAAAGAACCTGGTTTAAAGTTTTTGAAAAGCTATTCATAACAAGTGCTTCATTATACTTGTTGCAAGAGGTTATCAAACTGATTGCATTCTCCAGAGAAATGATTGTAGCTAAACTGTAGAATGAATGCAGTTTGATATCACTTTAACTACCCTGGCTCAATGTTATGGAATCATTCTTAGATAGAGAAGGCTAAAGATATAATACTACAATGCCATGAGTCCATATAATTAAGCCATGGCAGTTAGAGTGGTATCAAATCACATTTGTTCTATCAAGTATGATAGCTGGGACCCAGTCCTGGTAGCGTTACGCTGGTTGCGTAATGCGGCTCTGAATTAGAGAAGGGAACACGTGTTCCAGGCAGCACACCAAGTGAGAGGCGCACCTGTGGCAGGATACCAGTTAAGTAATGTAACACATGTGGAACAAGATAACAGTGAAGTAATGTAAGAGTGACTGGATTTGATTCATTTTTCACCACTGCTCATATTTCTCCCCTCCTTTCTATCCTTCCTTCCAACACAACAACGTTTTTGAACGTGTTTGCATACGATCTCCGGATAGCCTACATCAGTATGCTTGGCTGTTTTCCCTCCCCCTTTCTACCGAACTACCTTGCATGGGATCTCCAGATAGCCTTCATCAGTATGCTTGGCTGTGCCCCCCCCCCCACTTTCTACCGAGCTACCTAGTCGACTCTGTCGTAGTTGTGTCTCTCACTGCATGCGGTCTCTCACGCACGTGGTGCTGTATCTGGCACACATGTTCCCTTCTCTAATTCAGAGCCCCATTACACAACCATTGTAGCATTACCAGCACTGGGTCCCAGCTATCATACTTTTGCCTAGATGACTACACCTTTGAA